CAATGGAGAAATACGATAATTTTGGTACGTTTTCTCATTGTTATGATCAACTAAAGGTCTGACAAATTCAAAAAATTCATTTAATTGTGTATTTTAATGTAGGTAATCATAATCTGGATGTCTCGTGTCTGGGCGGAGTCCACACACCCATAACAATGGAGAAATACGATAATTTTGGTACGTTTTCTCATTGTTATGATCAACCAAAGGTCTGAAATGAACAAAAAATTCATTAAATTGTGTATTTTAATGTAGGTAATCATAATCTGAATGTCTCTTGTCTGGGCGGAGTCCACACACCCATAACAATGGAGGAATACGATAATTTTGTTACGTTTTCTCATTGTTATGATCAACCAAAGGTCTGAAATGAACAAAAAATTCATTAAATTGTGTATTTTAATGTAGGTAATCATAATCTGGATGTCTCTTGTCTGGGCGGAGTCCACACACCCATAACAATGGAGAAATACGATAATTTTGTTACGTTTTCTCATTGTTATGATCAACCAAAGGTCTGAAATGAACAAAAAATTCATTTAATTGTGTATTTTATTGTAGGTAATCATAATCTGGATGTCTCTTGTCTGGGCGGAGTCCACACACCCATAACAATGGAGGAATACGATAATTTTGTTATGTTTTCTCATTGTTATGATCAACCAAAGGTCTGACAAATTCAAAAAATTCATTTAATTGTGTATTTTAATGTAGGTAATCATAATCTGAATGTCTCTTGTCTGGGCGGAGTCCACACACCCATAACAATGGAGGAATACGATAATTTTGTTACGTTTTCTCATTGTTATGATCAACCAAAGGTCTGAAATGAACAAAAAATTCATTTAATTGTGTATTTTATTGTAGGTAATCATAATCTGAATGTCTCTTGTCTGGGCGGAGTCCACACACCCATAACAATGGAGGAATACGATAATTTTGTTACGTTTTCTCATTGTTATGATCAACCAAAGGTCTGAAATGAACAAAAAATTCATTTAATTGTGTATTTTATTGTAGGTAATCATAATCTGGATGTCTCTTGTCTGGGCGGAGTCCACACACCCATAACAATGGAGGAATACGATAATTTTGTTACGTTTTCTCATTGTTATGATCAACCAAAGGTCTGAAATGAACAAAAAATTCATTTAATTGTGTATTTTATTGTAGGTAATCATAATCTGAATGTCTCTTGTCTGGGCGGAGTCCACACACCCATAACAATGGAGGAATACGATAATTTTGGTACGTTTTCTCATTGTTATGATCAACTAAAGGTCTGACAAATTCAAAAAATTCATTTAATTGTGTATTTTAATGTAGGTAATCATAATCTGAATGTCTCTTGTCTGGGCGGAGTCCACACACCCATAACAATGGAGAAATACGATAATTTTGTTATGTTTTCTCATTGTTATGATCAACTAAAGGTCTGACAAATTCAAAAAATTCATTTAATTGTGTATTTTAATGTAGGTAATCATAATCTGGATGTCTCGTGTCTGGGCGGAGTCCACACACCCATAACAATGGAGGAATACGATAATTTTGTTACGTTTTCTCATTGTTATGATCAACCAAAGGTCTGAAATGAACAAAAAATTCATTTAATTGTGTATTTTAATGTAGGTAATCATAATCTGGATGTCTCTTGTCTGGGCGGAGTCCACACACCCATAACAATGGAGGAATACGATAATTTGTACG